ACATTTTTAAGGTTCTTAGCCCTGTTTTCCTCCTCTCTCTGTGTTCTTGGGGGCTGTACAAGCAGGGGCTCTCATCTCCTCAAGAGTTGTCCCTAGAGGTCTCCCAAATGTTCCATTAATGAGCAGGTTGGGGCCAAAAGGAGGCAAAAATGGGGATTTGGAGCTTCAGAACTCTAGGGAATGAGGATATCCCCAGGGCAGGAGGGCCCTGGGGCTGCCAGGAGCCCTCCCTGCAGCAGGGCAGGATTCCTGCAGCCTCCGTGGGTGACACAGCCCTGGCACCGGGCTGGCTGTGCCCCTGTCCCCTCCCCTTCCAGCATCCCTGGGTCACCCCTGGCTCCCTGACATCCTTCTGTTCCCATAGCAACCCCAGCTCCCGCTGCATCCCCGAGCCCCGCGGCACCGGGTGAGTACCGGCAGCAGCTGGAGCCGGAATCCCGGGAATCCCGGGAATCCCGGGGATCCGGGGATCCTGGCCCTGTGCTGACAGCGGAGTGCTGTGGGAGCCTGCTCACATCCCAGCATGCTGCCACTCTGCCCCTCTGCCCCCGTTCTGCCAAGCACGGGCTGAAAAATGGGAATAAAGGAAAGGGAAAGCACAGAGAGGGAGAGAAAGAGAGAGAGAAAGAGGAATGTTTGCCTTTCACCTTCCCTGTTTTTGTTCCATATTCTCAAAATGGGAATAAAAGGTTTAGAAAAATCACAGAGAGGGAGAGAAAGAGAGAGAGAGAAAGAGAGAGAAAGAGGAATGTTTTCCTTTTGCCTTCCCCATTTTTGTTCCATATTCCCAAAATGGGAATAAAAGATTTAGGGAAAGCACAGAGAAAGAGGAGAAAGAGAAAGAGGAATGTTTTCCTTTCATCTTCCCCATTTTTGTTCCATAGTCCAAAAATGGGAGTAAAAGGTTTAGGAAAAGCACAGAGAGGGAGAGAAAGAGAAAGAGGAATGTTTTCCTTTCACCTTCCCCATTTTTGTGTTAAAAGGGATGTGCATGAAATGATGTTCTTGCTGCCCTGCCTTGCTCTGTTTGCTTTGACTATAGGGAGATGCAGTTGATATTAAAAGTAGGGATATTGAATGCTGGAAGAAGATGCAAATGAGGAGGTAAAATATCCTGCACTAGAGATCCCAGAGCCCTGCTTGCCTTAAAAGAGGCCTCGGGCTTCCAGAAAATTCCATATCTGAGATGGGGACTGGATTCAGACTCCCTTGGTTGGGTGGTCAGGGAGGAAGGAAGACATGGAGTGAAGATCTGATTCAGCTGGTGCATGTGTGTGGTTTGAATAACTCATGATCCCTGCCAAGGCAGTGCTCTCCTTGTGACTTGCAGTAACAAGAAGTGTGTTTGTGGAGTGTGAGGTGACTGAGGCATTCACCTGAGGGGGCTGAGAAATGGTTTTCTGCATGGAAAACACTCACAGCATGAAGTGTGGGATGATCTTGGGGGTTGGGATGGAGGGAGAGGAGAGTGTGGCCAGTTAAATGAATTTATAATTAATTATAATGAATGCATTTATGCACGTTTCATGGTCTTACAGGTGACTTTAAATGTCCTTTACCTGCCACTGGCCACCAGCAGCGTGTTCCTTGTGCAGTAATTTTTATTTCCAAAGTGCCAAACCCCAATCCCTGATGCACTCGGGGGCTGAAGAGACTTTTTCAGTCCTGTCAGCCCTGGAGGTTGGGCTGGAGAGGGCAGAGGGCAGGCTCTGCTGATCATCCTTTATCCTCAGCAGGCAGAGACTCCCTTCTGGCTGTTCTGTGTGGGCTGGACACAGCTCCCCTCGGAGGGAAAACGTGGGGTTCATGTTTTACAGAACAGCTTGTTCTTAAAAAAAAGAATCTTTACCCAGAACAGAACTAATTAATGATAAACATTTTCCAGTTTTGTTGGCGAGGAGGAGGAGGAGGGGAAGGTTTCCCGTTGGCCCTGCGCTGGGGTTCGTTCAGACTGTGAGCAGGAGCAGAGCAGTTTTCTGTGTGTACACTCCATTTCTGCAGGCACTGCCCACATTGGTATGCTGGGCCGTGCTGCAGCCTGAGAAAATGAGAAATTCAGCAGCAGAGAAAGGGCAGCGGCGGGGGCAGCTGCTCCTCTGGCTCTGCACCACTGAACTCCTGCTGCTGCTGGCACTGAACTCCTGTGGCCTCTCCTGGGGCCAGGGAATGAAACCAGCAGCAATTAGGGAATGAGAGCTGCCCTGGGGCACCACGGAGCCAGAGACAGAAACCCAGCGAGCTGAAGGGCTCTCTCCACTTTTGGGCTTTTTGGGCTCACGTGGGAGATGTCTGTAGGCATGGAGGAGGTTTAGGAATGTCTCTGCTTGGGTCTAACCCTCTGAGGTTGCTCCAGTTCTGGACCAGTTTTGATGCTTTTCTTGCAGCTCTCTCCGCTCTGGGAACTGTTTTGCATTGCAGTGGTTGAGCTCACTTGGAAAAGGGGATTTTTTACAGGTTGGAGGGGGCTTGGAGCAACTTAATGGAAAGTGCCCCTGCCTAGACTGGAGAATCTTTAAGGTTCCTTCCAACCCAAACCATTTTATTCTATTTATGCTGCTACCTCTGTCCTTGATCTTTACCTAAAGCTCCTCTGGTGAGGACAGGCCACCTCTCTTGCCTGGTTTGAAATCTCAGGTTACGTTGAGTCTGCTACAGTTTGGGAGAGGTTTCTTCCTGACCAGAAGATGGGGATCTTCCTTCCAGGCAACCTCACAGCAACTCTTCAACCTCCCTCCTTCACAGTGCCCGGAGTTCTGGGTAAAGAGAATGGATTGAGAGCTTGGCTGTAACAAATGGATTTTACATTTTGTGCTATCAGTTTTTTCCCTGGTAATGGTCTGTCCTTAATCTTGTCAGAGACAAGCACCCAAAAGATTAAGGGTTTAATTCTCTATACATCAAATTAACAGGGAACTACCAGAGCACCGTGGAGTAGCCTCATTAGGATGAGGCAGAGGCACGAGCGTGAGAAATGCAAGGTTTGGAGTGATGTGGGAAGGGAGTTGGGACTCGGTGCTGGCACTGATCCTTCCTCATTCCCTGCCACTGTTCCTGTGCCAGAGCTCACCCTGGGTCAGGGGTGGCTCTGTGTGGTGGAAAAGTCTCTCCTCCAACCCAAGCTTCCAAAGAAAACTCAGCAGTCTCTGTTGTTGGGTCTCAAGGCAGTTTATTACAAGTTATCTAAAAGATTTTCTCCTTGGGCTGCTGTGGTTTGCTCACAGCTCAGGCAGAGGCACACACACACCCTGACATCCTCTCTGACCCCGACTGCTTCTTCTCTCCCACCCAGGGCTGTTGCTCTCTTTTATATGGTACATTACGTGTTACATGGTTACAGTTTTTCCCCAATGCTTATTACCTATATTAAATGGTGATTTTCTATCTTTTATATGGTACATTACGTGTTACATGTTTACAGTTTTTCCCCAATGCCTATTACCTATATTAAATGGTGATTTTCTACTCTAAACCAATCTGTGAGTGCCAACATCACCAAGAACATGGAGGTAAGGAAGGAGAAAGAGGGAGGACAGGGCAGGCCCAGATCCCAAATCCATCTTAAAACCTCTGACCCCATGTACAAAACCAAAACCCCCTGTACAGCACTCAAAAATTCTTCCCTCTACTTCTACTATAATATCTAAAATTTGTAACTTCTTGTTCTTCCTGCAAGGTTGGTAACTCATTCCATGGCTCAAACCCAAAATCCCAGCTGTTTCCAGCTGCCTGCCAGGGTCTCAAATGCTTCTGACGTGGGCCTGGAACCTCCAAAAATGTCTGAGGGACATTTGGAGTTCCGACATCCCTGCCCTGCCCCATCTCCCCCAGCAGCTGCTGCCTTCCCTGGGCCCCGCTGGGGATGGATTCCCCGTCCTGGCTGGCAGAGCCCCCCGNCCTGCAAGGTTGGTAACTCATTCCATGGCTCAAACCCAAAATCCCAGCTGTTTGCAGCTGCCTGCCAGGGTCTCAAATGCTTCTGACCTGGGCCCAGAACATCCAAAAATGTCTGAGGGACATTTGGAGTTCTGACATCCCTGCCCTGCCCCATCTCCCCCAGCAGCTGCTGCCTTCCCTGGGCCCCGCTGGGGATGGATTCCCCGTCCTGGCTGGCAGAGCCCCCCGTGCCCACCCAGCCCCTGGGGGCACCGAGCCCGTCCCTGCAGCTCCTGCATGGACCAGCATCCTTGGCCGTGCCCACCTCGGCAGGGTTTGCCCTCCTGCAGAGAGAGCAGAGAGTTTTCCTGTTGTTGTGGCTGTTCAGGGCACCTTTGTGCTGCACAGGGAGGACACCCCGCCGTGGGCTGCCGCGGTTTGTCCTCCTTTGGGCTGGTTGTGACCCTTTCACCTCCGCTGCCTTGGAATAACAACATTCCCTTTTTCTTCCCAGCAGTTTGGTGGATTCCTCCAGCAGTCCTGGCACACACCACAATGATTTTGTCCCTTTTGTTCTTTGTATGACTAAGCAGTGACGCAGCTGTGCCTAACACAAGGCCGTAACTCAGTGCTTGCTGTGGTTTAATATTCTTATTTTCCAGGCGGTTTTACTGTCCCCCTCCCCAGTGTTTCTGATATATGCTGGCTAATTTAATTTTGCTCCTATTTTTATTTACTCTGTAATTCTGTTGTTGATTTTTTTCCCTTGCCCATTGTTTACATCAGTTTTTTAATTTTTTTGTATTTTCCATGTGACCTCCTCCACTTTCCTTTCAACCAAACTCATGTGCGTGCGTATCATGTGAATTTGTCATGTGGCTTGCATGGTGCTGATGATGTCGTCCTCGCTGGTGAACAGAAGGTAAAATACTTTGTTCTGATTGGTTGCCTAGATTTTTGGGGTGAGGATTCCCCTCCGGGATCTCCAAATTCCAAAAAATAAAAATCCCACCGAGCCTTTTAGGAGGAGTTGCTCGTCACTGTCTGCATGGGAAGAACTCCACTTGAGTCCTCTGTGTTGAGCTGGAAAAAACTTGGAGGGAAAACAGGAAAAAAAAAACCCAAAAAAATCCCCTGGCTCAGTCATTTGCTTCTTCATTCTCAGAGTCCAGCAAGGAACTGTCCAGGAAGGTGCTAAAAAACCTCTGGAATGAACACCAAAGGCCAAAATCCTCTGCCTGTCTGTGGTACCAACCACAGACTGGAATTTGATGGGAAATAAGGGCGAAATGGGAGCAGCCTCTCTCCAAAATGTTGCTTTAGCAGCATTTTGACCCTATAAAATACACATTTATATTGAGATATGTGCACACATCCACACTGTATATGTTTAGTAGCCTTCCCAAATAATCCTGAATTCTCTGAAATCTGATTATTTGGAGTATGTCACAATTTGATTTAAGAAACCATTTCCTTTTTGATTGCGAGTAGAACTTTAGCGCAGCTAGAACGAGAGCTGTGTTACGAAACACCCTCTCTATAAAATGCAGATCTAAAATCCTCTCTCTGTACAAAACTCTGCGTGTAACTCCTGTGAAATGGCACACACAGAGTCCGTGGTGGGGCCAGCCCTCACAGAGTTCTCCCAGAGGGGATGAGGAGTTTCTCCTGCCAGAGCCCCGCCAGGTCCCTGGCCAGGCTTTAACCGAGCTCAGCTCCCAGGAGCTGCTGATCCCCAGCAAAGCAAGAGGCAAATGTGTGAGCCAGGAGCTTCCTGGGGATGGAGTCAGGCTGCAGCAGAGCTGGGGTGCTGCAGAGCAGTTCCTGCAGTGCTTGGGGTGCTGCAGAGCAGTTCCTGCAGCCCTGGGGTGCTGCAGAGCAGTTCCTGCAGTGCTGGGGTGCTGCAGAGCAGTTCCTGCAGCCCTGGGGTGCTGCAGAGCAGTTCCTGCAGTGCTGGGGTGCTGCAGAGCAGTTCCTGCAGCACTGGGAGGTGCAGAGCAGTTCCTGCAGTGCTGGGGTGCTGCAGAGCAGTTCCTGCAGCGCTGGGGTGCTGCAGAGCAGTTCCTGTAGCACTGCCCCAGTGCAGAGCAGTTCCTGCAGTGCTGGGGTGCTGCAGAGCAGTTCCTGCAGTGCCTGGGGTGCTGCAGAGCAGTTCCTGCAGCGCTGGGGTGCTGCAGAGCAGTTCCTGCAG